ATTATTACTTTCTATAATGTTGTTGTAAGCTACTGTCATTACCTGCATCTCTCTCTCTGTCTCTCTCTCTCTCTCTCTGTCTCTCTCTCTGTCTCTCTCTCTCTCTCTGTCTCTCTCTCTGTCTCATTGTGTCATACAGATTACTGTTAATTTATTATGCTGATCTGTTCTGTACGACATCTATTGCACGTCTGTCCGTCCTGGAAGAGGGATCCCTCCTCAGTTGCTCTTCCTGAGGTTTCTACCATTTTTCCCCGTTCAAGGGTTTTTTGGGGAGTTTTTCCTGATCAGCTGTGAGGGTCATAAGGACAGAGGGATGTCGTATGCTGTAAAGCCCTGTGAGGCAAATTGTGATTTGTGATATTGGGCTTTATAAATAAAATTGATTGATTGATTGATTGACATGGTGGGTGTGCATGTGTGTGTATTTCAGACCTGTGTGTAATTGACAAGCAAGAGTGAAAACATTGAATTTCCCCTCAGGGGGATTAATAAAGTAAATAAACTAAACTAAATAAACATTTAGTCCAACACATGATTACGCACAGGGGAGAGAAACCGTTCAGCTGCTCTGAGTGCAGGAAAAAGTTTGGATATAATAGTTCTCTGAAGAGACACATGGGGACTCACACAGGAGAGAAACCACTCGGCTGCGAAGTGTGAACGTCCACGTGGGAGAAAACGTTTACGTGAGGAGATTCACTCTGAAGTTAACGGTGTCGTTGAAAACGTGATGATGTCAAAACAACGAGAGTCATCATCTCTAAAATACAATAAAGTTTTCGTGATTCTGATATAGAATAATGATGTGTTTGATTTCTGCTCCAGCAGCGGTCTGGGTCAAAGTTTCGTCACAGCATCGGCACAGTACCTTTTCATAATCTTTAATTTACTGATAAAAATATTGTTAATTATAATAAATTAAATAAGAATTTTGGATACTTTATCAACATTTTTTTCACATTTTATTATAATTTTTGGGACATAATAATATTTTCCAGACATTTTATCAGATTTTTTTCCGATATTTATTAAAAAAAATAAATTTTAATAATATTCTTTGGACATTTATTTTTAGACATTTTATTAACACTTTTTGAACATTTTAATAAAGTTATTCAGACATGTTATATTTTCTTCAGACATTATCATAATATATTTTTTAATATGTTTGGTCATATTATCAACATTTTTCAGGCATTTTATCAGAATTCTTTCTAACTTTTAATAATGTTTTTCAGACATTTTATAAACATTTCTTCAGACGTGTCTACATTTTTTCTGATATGTTATTAGTATTGTTTCAGATATTTTAATAATATTTTTGCGACATTTTGTTAACATTTTGGATGTTTTTCAGACATTTCACCACCTTTTTTGGACATTTATTACGATTTTTTCAGATATTTTGATAATATTTTTTAGACATTTTATCAATATATTTGGGATAGAACAGCCTGTCACAGGTTACAGCCTGATGATTAGAGTTGAATTATACATAAAGATCCCAGGGGACATTTTTTAAATGTGTAATTAGTGGTAGATTTGATTTAGTTCTATTAATATTGTAACAGAATCTGAATCAGACTTGTAACCTGATTTCATATATTTTATATATTTTCATGCTTAATTCATGTGTGATTATTTTGTTGCTGCTGTTTTTATGAACATGATGAAAACAAAAATCATAGGAGCTGATTTTAAGTCTGGTTTGTTCTTGTCTTATTGGATATGAAATGACATCAGAGTTGATTTACAGAATTTGTTAAGAACATCTGGTATTTTCAGTCCTTTACGGGGTTTAAATCAACTACTCTGATCGAGGCACTGAGGTTTTCTTGTAACAGAACAATATGAGGATCATCAGCACAGAGGAGGAGTAACGCATTATCAGATATAAAAGAGGCCCCTGTACAGAGCCTTGAGGCATGCGGCAGTATGGTTTGATTTTATTTGACATACCATTTATAGCATTTATAAATACAGATTGATCTCTGTTCCTCAGGTGATCACTAAACCAGCTGATCACCACATCCTGAAACACTAAAGTTTGGATATAAGAAAGGTAAGATCTGTTGAATCAAACGCTTTCAAAAAGTCCAAGAACACGACAACTGCACATTTATTATCGTCCAACGCTGTGGTGATGGAGAAGGGGGGGGGGGGGGGGGGGGGGGGGGGGGGGGGGGGGGGGGGGGGGGGGGGGGGGGGGGGGGCGTAAAAGATAGTTAACTGTTAATAAGTGCATGAGACTCACCTGGTTGCTCACACCATGTCAACAGCTCAGGTTTGATTCCAGCCTCAGCTCTCATTAAATTTTTTTAAAATCCATTGACTGTAGAAAACAGCACGAGGCTACTCCACAGTTTAATTAACACATAATGCACAATAAGATAAAATACACTTTAGTGTCGCCTAGGGGAAATTCAACTGGGACTCCAGTGCTGGCACATGTAGCTGCTTCCATGGTGAATAAATAATAAATAAATGAAAATACAAATCTAGGCCACAGGCCACATATTGCATATGATGCATCATAGCCCTGACACATGATCTGCATGAGATCTATACAAACACACAAACATACTGTAATCTTTAAAACATATACAAACACACACACTCTTGCACACATCAATACAGAACTACCATGTTCCTCAACATTACTGCACAACACCTATGGCTTTAGAAGCACTTACAGTCCTGACTGAGGTAGGCAAAAATGAATTCTTAAAACGATTCAGCCTGCAGAGGGGAAGTCTGTAGCGTTTGCCAGATGGTAAAAGTTCATACTCAGAGTAAAGGACATGGGTCTCATCAGACAAGATTCTCTGTACCTGTCTGAGCACACACTGCTCATAAACAGCCTGCAGGGGGAGCCTTTCAGACCTCCCTATCACTTTCATGGCACTTTGTGTCAGACGAGTGATTCTTGATTTTAGATGTATAGATTACCATACCATGCTGACATGCCATACCTGAGAATACTTTGAAAAACAGCCTGATAAAATAAGAACATTACTCTCTGATTGACACCAAACACTGAGTCTGCGCAAGAAGTACAGTCTTTGCTGCAAATGAGAACACAGATGATCTACATGGACTTGCCAACTGAAAAGGTCATCGAGGTGAACACCAAGATACCTGTAAGAGTTTCTCCATGGATACACAGTGGTGTGTGATCCCCTGCTAGCTTTGGCTCCAACACCATTTCTTCTGTTTTCTTTTTTCTTTTCTTTTTGTATATATATATATATATATATGTGTGTGTGTGTGTGTGTGTGTGTATATATATATATATATATATATATATATATATTCAGGCCTGACCCCTGGAATGGGTCAATTTATGAACTTTTCGATAGACGATGCTGAGCTGTTGGACTTTTGAAACATATACTGTGAGCTCTGCTGTTTATGTCATGGGAATGAGGCTGTTTTTCTTAAGTCTGTGTTAATTTTGGTGTGTGTGTGTGTTTATTTTTGTCTTAAAAATTTAATAAAAATTAAAAAAAAAATGTCAAAAGAAATTGCTGATGAAATCTCAAAAAAGTTTATAAACAAAAGATGTCTGAAAAAGTATTGATAAAATGTCCAAAAAAAGACTAAAATGTGTGAAAATAGAGTTGTGTGGGCACTATATCCTGCAGTGTGTCAGGTTGCTCACCTGGCATCAAATGACAGTTTGTCTCTGTTTCCTGTTTGGTGCAGAGGTCCAGCAGCAGCTGTTGGTGGTTAAAGAAGAGGTTCCCCCTGAGCAGCAGGAGTGGAGCTCCAGTGTGGACCAGGAGGACCCAGAGCCCCCACACATTAAAGAGGAAGAGGAGGAACTGTGGAGCAGTCAGGAGGGAGAGCAGCTTCAAGGGCTGGAGGAGGCTGATATCACCAAGTTCACATTCACTCCTGTCCCTGTGAAGAGTGAAGATGATGAAGAGAAACCTCAGTCTGGGGGACACCACTGTGGAGGACCAGGACCAGACAGGAACTCAGGTCCAGATATTGATGACAGGACCGGAGAGTTCTCAGTTGCTGAAATCGAAGTCAGCTGTGACGACTGGGACGAGACCAGAGAACCTCCGTCAGGTTTAAACTCTCAGGTCGATGATGAACTTCCTGTCAACGACACAGGATGTGATTCACCTGAGAAACCGTTCAACTGCTCCGAGTGTGGGAAGAAGTTTACAAAGAACGGATTCCTGGAGACTCACATGAGGACACACAGTGGGGAGAAACCATTCAGCTGCTCTGTGTGTGGGAAGAAATACACTAAGAGGAGATACCTGGTCCAACACATGGGCATCCACAGAGGGGCGGAGCCTCATCAGTGTGTCTCAGCCGCCGGGGGTGTCTCCGAGTGCGATAAAAAACTCTGCTACAGTCACCACCTGAGGAAAGACGGCGGGGCTCACCCTGACGATCATCTGTTCAGCTGCTCCGTCTGTGGCAGGAAGTTCACTCAGAGAGGATATCTGATCCAACACATGGCGCGCCACACGGGGAAGATCCGTTTCCGCTGCTGCGTCTGTGACAAGAGGTTCGCATGGCGTCATGAACTGAAGAGCCACAGGTGTACTGACGAGTCGTTGCAGAGTCAGAGCGAGCGTCCAGCAGGCGACTTGGCAGTTGATGGAGGATCAGACTCTGATGACAAGACGTCAGACTCCTCCGAGACTGAGACTGAAACCAGAGAACCTCCGTCAGTCTCCATCAGTGACAGGAAGTCATTCATCTGTCCTGAGTGTGGGAAAATGTTCTGCGGTGAGGAGAACCTGCAGTCGCACATGAAGACGCACTCAGGAGAGAAACCGTTCAGCTGCTCCTTCTGTGAGAAAGGGTTAACACAAACAGGAAGTCTGACTGACCACACCAGTGTCCACACGGAGGAGAAACGCTTTCTCTACTGCGTCTGCGGCAAAAGATTTGCATGGCGGTTTAACCTGAAGAACCACAGCTGTGCCAACGACTCTTCACGACCTGACCAGAGCACAGGGGCGGAGCCTCCGGCAACTTCAGACTCTGCTGACGTTCAGACTGAAGTCGCTCCCGACTTCACAGAGAGTTTAGACGAAGTCCACAACAGCGACCTCGCAGAGAGACCGTTCAGCTGCTCTCAGTGCACCAAGAGGTTCCGCCGTAAGAAGAACCTACAGGAACACCTGAGGATCCACACCGGAGAGAAACCGTACGGCTGCTCAGTGTGTATGAAATATTTCTCGTGCAGCGGATCGCTGAGGAAACACCTGAGGATCCACACTGGAGAGAAACCCTTCAGCTGCTCTGTGTGTGGGAACCACTTCACTGAGAGTGGACACCTGAAGGTCCACATGAGGACACACACAGGGGAGAAACCGTTCAGCTGCTCTGTCTGCGGGAAAAGTTTCACTTGGAGGCAGAGCTTCAACAATCACATGAAGTTTCACAGAGACACGAAGTAGAGACAGGTCGGTTGAGTCTTCTGGTCTCAGCTGTGTTTATGTCTCATGCTCAGCTTGTGTTAACGTGACGTCCTGTAAGAGACGGAATCTACCGTGTCTGCTTTGTCCTCCCGCTGTTTCACTTCAGCCTGAAGGGAGACACAGGAAGTAGCCGTCTGAGCGGCCATGTTGGATCACAGCAGACGAGTCAACATCCTGATCAACCTGCCGTCTGAATTCATCCGTCCGTTTGTCCACCGCAGATGTAACGTCCTTTGAGGACGGTGAAGAGGACAACTGGACGACTAATGATATTTGCTGACGTCACAAAATTGCCATGGTTTGATTTCAGTGTGGTTCAGGATCCTGAGACCGATTTGAGATGAGTTTCAGACCAGCACTGATCTTTAAAACTTGAGCACTGGGTAGGATCAGGATCTCTGACATTCAGGACGCAGCCCAAATCCCTATGGGGCCATGTCCTCCTCTGTCACTTCCTGTTGGTCACCTGCAGAGGCATTTTGAGGACATGCTCTAATGGCTAAGTTAAAAGAAATCCACTGAGTTTGTTGATGTTTGATCAAACCTTCATTGATTTATGGACAAATTTTGTGAGAAGTTACTGCACTTGGTTGGAACTGGTGGCACTCCCTACTGACCACCGTTTTTATTTAACCTGTCCTGCAGGTTTTGTAATGATTGGTCACTTTCTGATTTATAATCTCATTTGTGGTAGGCCACGCCCATTTTTGTATTTATGGTGCCCCTAGTGGTCACATAATGTATCTTTTAGGATATGCGCCTGGTTCCTCTTCACTGGCAAGTTTTGTGATGATTGGACCAAAGGTTGTGGAGTTATGTGCTAAGCCACGCCCCCTTTAAAGATCACTGATCAGTATCTTCAAAAAGCAGAAATATGAAAAAGCTTTTGGGAACGTTTGATGACCATAGGCCAAAAATGATTCACAGAAACTTTGGTATGAATCGGACCTACGACTTAGGAGGAGACGTCAAATATGTGTTTTCAAAAAATTAAAAATGGCGGGCAAGCTAGTGGGCGGACCTTGAGGGTTCTCAAAGCATTCTCAAAGACATTCACCTGACCATGTGTGTCGAATTTCAAGTCAATCTGACATACAGTGCGAGGGTGGTGGCCTTTCAAAAAGACATAACCTTAATTATAGCGCTCTTATCTGGCTGATCGGCAGTTATATAGCTTGATCAGTGTTTGCACACAACTTCCAATCATCAATGAAAATTTCATGTCTCTATGATGTACCATCTCATGGGAATTTGCGCAAACATTTTTGAACAATAATAATAATAATAATAATAATAATAATTATAGCTGCTGCGCAGAGATGGGTCGGGTCCGGGCATTTTTAGGCAATTCTGAGCAACAAGCAGAAGAATTGGAAGACATTTAGGAATTTAGCAACACAATCTGCCTTTTTCATCAGCTGAGGCTTGAACTCACAACCTCTGAGACTAAGAATCAATTTCTATCTCACTGAGCTAATTAGTCAGTGACAATTCATGTGTAGCTTCACAAACTGACTAAGCCAGACGTGCAGGTTTAGCAGCCGTCCATGCATGGAAAAGCAGATTTGAAACCACTGTAAAAAATTCAGTTATGGAAACAAAAATCTGAAAATACACATATTGCATCTAGACAGCATGGAGATGTTGGTAATTTGTTTGTAACAATGATTGATTTGCTTCATAAGTGAAAAACTGATGTTTAACTAGTTGAGCTATGTGCAAAGTGAGAAGCCTCAGATGGTTTCACACTGAAGCATTGACACTGGATCTTTGTGCAAAGTTTGGTTTATTTTCAAGCATGAGAAGGCAGATTTTCTGGCAGAATAAAACTTGAAGATGCTGCACAGTGATCAGTCACGCTCAGGCAATTTTAAGCAATAAGCTGGAGCACAAGAAGATGTTTACATTACAATGTGGATTCTGCACCAGTTAAGGCTCAAATCCACAACCTCTGGAACCTAAGACGGTCATCTACCGCTCTGAGCTAATTGGCAAGTAGCAACTCAACAGTAGCTTCACAAACTGAGTAAGCCATTCAATATTGTGTAGGAAAGTAGCTGTCCGTGCATTGAAAGGCAGATTTGAAACCACTGTAAAAAATTCAGTTATTAAGACAAAAATCTGAAAATACACATATTGCATCTAGACAGCATGGAGATGTTGGTAATTTGTTTGTAACAGTGATTGATTTGCTCCATAAGTGAAAAACTGATGTTTAAATTTGCCATTTTTACATTGACTCCAATTGTTCACATTAGAGCAAAATTCAAAATGCTGTCAAAAATTCAGTTTTTGAGATAAAATTCTGAAATTTGCCACACATCATCTACCATGACTCTAGAATTTTGTCATTTTTTTCATGAACATTGAAGATTTATTTAGCAAGAATTTGCATGTATATGTTTACAGTACCGTTTACAGTCAAACATTTTGATGCACTGTAGGCTCAATTTTTGATAAATCAAAAATCTGAGAAACATAGTTTTTGTAGGACAGTCTGAAGATGCTCTGTAGCAAGTTTGGTGTCAATTGAGCAAAAATTGTGGGAGGAGATAGGTTTAAGAAGTTTTACAGTTTTTGAAAAAAACAGAGTGATGAACTTCATAATTTTTAATAGGTTTAAATGTACAAAAGTTTCTTCAGTATTGGGGCTACAGTTTGATGAAAGTTGTGAAGTTGTAGCACGTATGGTTGATTTGTTATGAATTTTCAAAGTTTTGAACTTTAGACGCTTGCTGTAGCGCCACCATCAGGACTATTGGCTTGAGTTTACAGATGAGGATATCTGGCATGAGACTGGACCCTTGTGCAAAGTTTGCTGAGTTTTCAGCCATGGGAAGTATGATTTCCTCAGAAGAAGAAAGAAGAAGAAGAAGAACTAGGATTACAATAGTGTCCTGGCAGCTTAGCTGCCTGGACCCTAATAATAATAATAATTAAAGCTGCAAGCAGGTCAATCCAAAAATAAGTGTCATAAAAGATGTCTCAGCTAGGTGGCGCTGTACTCTTCACTGAATATTGAGATATAGATCTGTTCAGGGCAGGACTGTCATCAATGACATCTCTTGGTCTTAATTTAATGCTCCTACACGTCCATTGTTCCACAGATATGGTCTCCTTAGACTACTGGATTTTAATGTTTACCAAAATGCATGCTTGATGTTCCAAGTAATACATAATGTCAACTAAAGATTAACTGAGCTTGTTGCGGTTTGTTGGCCTCTGCATGAGCACCATACTACACACAAACATCTTATTGTGGGGAAGAGCAGACGCCTTAAAAGTGCCAGCATGAGTGTGACTTGCAGGGGCCCTCAAATATGGAATAAGCTTGATGACACCATAAAAGAACTCACCTCTTTATCTGCGTTTAAGAAAACTCGAAAGGATAATGTCCTAAACAGTTACATATAAAATAACACTGGACTGAAACCCAAACCAGTGAATGGGGGATGCTTTTGTCTTTTGTGTTTTATGTTATTTGTTTTATGTTATTAGTATGGATGTAAATGTTACTGTACTGTCATATATGTTATGTCCAATATTCCAATTGACTATTTTTGATGGCCTTATGCATCAGGCTCCCTAAAATAAGCTTTAAAGCTGTTTAAAAAACAGACCAAGGTTTGAAGTCAATCTGATAAAATCTCTAGGACTAGTTCTTTAATTGACGAGCCCTGGAAATGGGCAAAACTGCACAAAAGTGGCACAAATAAATTCTAAATGGCGGACTTCCTGTTGGGTTTGGAGCATGGCTCCAAGAGGCTTTTTTGTACGTCTTAGAGTGTGACAGATGCCTACCAAGTTTCATACATGCAGGTCAAACCAGCTTCAGGGGCTGTTTCATTGAAATTTTCTAGGGGGCGCTGTTGAGCCATCTTGGCACATCAAAGCACAAAAATCATATCAGAATTTGGAACCTCTGATGTGTATGCCACGTTTGGTGAGTTTTCAACCATCCCTTGCCCCTTAAAAACAACTTTGTGTTTTATGGCTAATAAGGCGATGCCATGGTGACAGCGTTTGATGAAAACTCAAGAGCTTAATTTTTGACCTTTTTTTTCTATTATTATTTTTTTTTACTTTTTTACTTTTTATCAGCAAATTTGGGACATCAAAGAATGAAAATAGTAATTTCTTTGTAACCAGTAGGTGGTGCTATGGTGGTGATTCAGAATTCCTTTACAGATGTTTTCTGGGGGGGACTCATCATCAATCGATCAATTAATTTTATTTATAAAGCCCAATATCACAAATAACAATTTGCCCCAGAGGGCTTTATAGCATACAACATCCCTCTGTCCTTATGACCCTCACAGCAAATGTGTGAAGTTTTGGCAAGATATGCCCACATGGAGTCAAGTTACAGCAATGTTTATCATCACGGCGAAACATCAAAATTCAGCCACGCCCTTCGAGGAAACCGCATAGTTTCCAAAATAAAGCGTCATTAACGTCTTATGGCTTATTTGAGCAAGTTTGAGGTGGATGTGGTCAATTTATAGAAGATGACTATCAAAGTATTAAACATGACATTTCCTGTAGCCAGTAGGGGGCGCTATATTTATCACTAATTACTGACATGTAGATGTGTTCAGGGCGGGACTGTCATCAATCCTGTGAGGTTTGGGGAAGTTTGGACCATGTATGCTGGAGTTATAAACTACTTCCTGTTTGGTGGCAAAAGATGGAAGTTTGACACCTCACCACAGTCACACGGTTCAACTAGAACTCAAGCTTCTATCAACTTTGGATGTCGAAGGTCTGAAGATGGTTCGGACAAAGTTGATTTGATTGGATCAAATCTATAGAAGGAGTTTGTTAAAGTACGACCCCCGGAAATGGCCAAAAATGCACCAAAATTACAGATTTAATTCAAAATGGCCGACTTCCTGTTGGTCAGCTGCAGAAACATTTTGGAGACATGCTTTGATGTCTGAGTTAAAAAAAATCCACTGAGTCTGGTAATGTTTGAACAC